CCCCTTATTGTTTTATTAGGGCCCCCACCCACCCACCGCGCAGGGGTGGGGGCGCAGGGGTGGGGGCCAGTAGGTTCCCCCCCATCTTTATTTAGGGCCCCCACGGGCATGGGGGGGGGGGGTTTATTAGTTTTATTTATATTTTTTTTACAGTGAGCAGCTATAAGCTGCTCACTGCTTACTACACATGCCCCTACTCGCGATATAGCGAGTAGGGGCATATTATTTACTAATACTAAGTAATCTTTACTTAGTATTAGTAAAGTTGGCTGTTAGACCAATTTAGGTCTTTCAGCCTTTTAGTAGATAGCTCCCTGATACCGTGGGAATTAGGGAGTTATCTACTAAGCGGCTGCAAAATGCAGCCACAGCAATGAATAGGATCAGAGTTTCATTCATTAGAATGAAATTCCGATCCGAATAAAATGCCGAATTGCGTTCTAAAAGAAACGAATATACTGTTGTCATTCAGTTAGAACGCAATTCGGCAGTTTCATGTAAAATGACAGGAAGCATTGTGGGAACACTGAGGAAAGCTAGGGATCATGGGAAAATTGCTCTGACCAACGGAAATGAAGCACACTTTGCTCCTCCGCTGGTCAGAGCTGGTCAAGCGGAGGAATCCTCCATAAGGCAAAGAGTCCCTACTTTGTCTTATGATTTTAAAGAAAACTAAAGAAGACAGGAAGAAATGAAGAACAGATCCTGAGAGAGGGGGAGAAGAGGAAGAGATTGAGGAAAGGTAAGTTCTGCATGACAGTGCCGTTTTAAATCACAGTACAAGAATCTGTCTGGAAGTAGAATAATGTAGATGTGCAAAAATGAGCTAGACAAAAGAGTGACACTCTTTTTTAAAGTGATACAGTGCACTGTAGTCAAACATGTTAGTATATTCATCAAAAAAGGTGAATATTTAAAGTGCATATCAGGGAATATCCTCTAAATAGTGCTCAATAAAGTGCATAAAAAGTGAATTGTTGCAAATAATGTTGAAAAAGTGACTCAGTAGTATCTATAAATAAGGAGTAAGAAAGTATTGCACACAACATATTAAGAGTCATAAATGACTATATAAGTATACATAATAGAGAGAAAACATTAAAAACAATTATTGCAGTGGGTTCATATAAATGAATGATATGAAATCATTTCGTTAAGTCCTTTTGGGGCTATAGTATCCAAAGTATATATCCAAAACGTCTCACGTCTAAGCAAAAGTTTACCCCTATCCCCCCCTCTTCTTGGTGGAGGGATGTGGTCGATCGCCACAAATTTGAGGGTTGATAGTGGGTGTTGAAAAGATAAAAAATGTTTTGCAACTGGTTGGTCTGAATTGCCATCCCTGTAGGCTACTCGTATACTCGATCTGTGCCCTCTGATCCGTTCACATAATGGTGTTTCCGTTTTCCCAATGTAGACTAAGCCACAAGGGCAAGATAATTTATAGATAACAAAGGGCGTTTTGCAAGTGATGGTATGACGTATTTGGAAATTCTTATTGTTGTGAGGGTGTTGAAAAGTACGTGAGGGGGTCATGTGTCCACAAGTGACACAGCCCAAACATCTGATGCTTCCTCGACTTGGTACAGACGTTTTTGTATCATAGCTCTTCACTGGGTCGGTATGTACTAGAAGATCTCTTAAATTTTTATTCCTGCGGTAGCAGAGCAGTGGTGGTTCTTTGAAGATTTTCGGAAGCGTATCGTCACTCGCTATCATCTTCCAATTGTCCTTCACAATTTTGGAGATCTTGGAGGACGCATTGTTAAATGTAGTGGAAAAAATCATCCTTGGGGCTTTCTCGTCACTTTTAATTGAAACAGCAGACTTTGCTTCCTCTAATGCTTTACTTAGATCTCTGTGTCGATAGCCACGTTCCTGGAATTTTTCCACCATGTCTTCCAGTTGTTGATCCATTTTAGACTTATCTGAATTATTTCTGATTACCCTGAGGAATTGTGCCTTGGGTAAAGACTTTTTTAAAGGCTCTGGATGTGCACTTAAGTTGTGTAGAATGGTGTTTCTATCCGTGTCTTTTTTATAGAGGCAATATGAAAGTCCTTGTTCCTTCAACGAGATTTCCAAATCCAAGAATTGTATTGAGGTAGTGTCGATCTTTGATGTAAATCTAATAGGGCTATTTATCTGGTTCAAGGAGTATATCATTTCTTCTGCTTCTGTCACATTGCCTCCCCATAGTATCAACAAGTCGTCGATATAGCGAAAGTATCCTTGTATGAAATGACTGTACCTTGTTAAAATCCATCTTTGTTCGTAGTCATACATGTAGGCATTGGCATACATGGGAGCCATAGTGGCCCCCATGGATGTGCCAGAAGTCTGGAGAAACCATTTGTCCTCAAATCTGAAGTAGTTGTTGTGTAGTACCAATGATAGTAGTTCTAAGACAAATTCAATGGGTGGTCCACTATATGATTACGAGGAAGTGAGGACAGATCTCATCGCTTGAATTCCTTCCATGTGTGGAATCACCGTGTAGAGGCTACTAACATCCATTGTAATTAACGTCGTTGTACCACTCTTCAGTTTCAGTTGCTTCAATTCCTGAATGAGGCTAGGTGTGTCCTTGATACAGGTACTCAATTCAGCTATGGGAGGCTGAAATAGAAAGTCAAGCCACTTAGCAATCGGTTCTAATAGACCCTCAATCGCAGAAACAATAGGTCTGCCCGGGGGTCTAATTGGATCTTTGTGAATCTTAGGCAGGGTATAGATTATGGGTGTCCGAGGATGTGTTTTTGAATGGGTGTCCCATTGAATTTGTCTTAGAACTACTATCATTGGTACTACACAACAACTACTTCAGATTTGAGGACAAATGGTATCTCCAGACTTCTGGCACATCCATGGGGGCCGCTATGGCTCCCATGTATGCCAATGCCTACATGTATGACTACGTACAAAGATGGATTTTAACAAGGTACAGTCATTTCATACAAGGATACTTTCGCTATATCGACGACTTGTTGATACTATGGGGAGGCAATGTGACAGAAGCAGAAGAAATGATATACTCCTTGAACCAGATAAATAGCCCTATTAGATTTACATCAAAGATCGACACTACCTCAATACAATTCTTGGATTTGGAAATCTCGTTGAAGGAACAAGGACTTTCATATTGCCTCTATAAAAAAGACACGGATAGAAACACCATTCTACACAACTTAAGTGCACATCCAGAGCCTTTAAAAAAGTCTTTACCCAAGGCACAATTCCTCAGGGTAATCAGAAATAATTCAGATAAGTCTAAAATGGATCAACAACTGGAAGACATGGTGGAAAAATTCCAGGAACGTGGCTATCGACACAGAGATCTAAGTAAAGCATTAGAGGAAGCAAAGTCTGCTGATTCAATTAAAAGTGACGAGAAAGCCCCAAGGATGATTTTTTCCACTACATTTAACAATGCGTCCTCCAAGATCTCCAAAATTGTGAAGGACAATTGGAAGATGATAGCGAGTGACGATACGCTTCCGAAAATCTTCAAAGAACCACCACTGCTCTGCTACCGCAGGAATAAAAATTTAAGAGATCTTCTAGTACATACCGACCCATGACCCCCTCACGTACTTTTCAACACCCTCACAACAATAAGAATTTCCAAATACGTCATACCATCACTTGCAAAACGCCCTTTGTTATCTATAAATTATCTTGCCCTTGTGGCTTAGTCTACATTGGGAAAACGGAAACACCATTATGTGAACGGATCAGAGGGCACAGATCGAGTATACGAGTAGCCTACAGGGACGGCAATTCAGACCAACCAGTTGCAAAACATTTTTTATCTTTTCAACACCCACTATCAACCCTCAAATTTGTGGCGATCGACCACATCCCTCCACCAAGAAGAGGGGGGGATAGGGGTAAACTTTTGCTTAGACGTGAGACGTTTTGGATATATACTTTGGATACTATAGCCCCAAAAGGACTTAACGAAATGATTTCATATCATTCATTTATATGAACCCACTGCAATAATTGTTTTTAATGTTTTCTCTCTATTATACTTATATAGTCATTTATGACTCTTAATATGTTGTGTGCAATACTTTCTTACTCCTTATTTATAGATACTACTGAGTCACTTTTTTAACATTATTTGCAACAATTCACTTTTTATGCACTTTATTGAGCACTATTTAGAGGATATTCCCTGATATGCACTTTAAATATTCACCTTTTTTGATGAATATACTAACATGTTTGACTACAGTGCAATGTATCACTTTAAAAAAGAGTGTCACTCTTTTGTCTAGCTCATTTTTGCACATCTACATTATTCTACTTCCAGACAGATTCTTGTACTGTGATTTAAGTACATGATCTCTTTGGTCACAATGTATAATTGGGTCATCACAAGTAAGATGTTATTTTTCATCTTTATTGTCTATACTTTATACCACTTTATCTCATCATTCATTCACATGTCTTCCTCTCATTCTCTCTAGCACTCTTGCGGTGTATGTTTGTACGGTTGCCATGGATACGCGGCTCTTGCCGACATCTCCATGACAATGCGATCATGTGATCGCGACGCAAGGGGGCGGAGCACTTTACGCATGCGTCACTCACACCGGGGACCTGCGGGTGCATGCAGGGGAATCGGATCACCTGGGGTAAGTTAGTTTTCAATTATTATCTGCAATATATAAGCGATATTGTTTACATGGCTGTTTATTCCTGAAGAAAGTCCCACTAGAGGACTGAAACGTTGATACAGCTTTTTTTAAATGGACCAATAAAGGTTACTTTTTAAACACTATTTTCTGGAAATCCGTGAGTGCTAATCACTACAGATCGGTATATATATATATATATATATGTTTTTACATAGGCTAGAAAGTTGTGATTGTATTATATATTTAATACATTTGTATGATGTGTATTCTTCAAGTTATGTATGTCTGTTTATATTTATATAGATTTTTAAGGACAAGTACTAGAAAGGCTAGTTCTTGTAAAAAATAAAGTAGTCTGTATTAGTTTCATTGGGAACTGTGTGTCCTGCCTGGATTGTTTGGGGAATACAGTAGCAGAATTTTTAGACCTGCTTCCTGATTGCACTAGTTCCTGGTCCTGGGGACATATTAAGAAAGAGCTAGTCCTGAGAGCTGCAAGTACCTTTGTAAAGGCATTAGTGAGAAGCAGAACAGGCCAAGGGGTCCATACCTGCCTGAGAAATGGAGGCACAGGCAGGCGGGTCAATAACTGCCTATGAGAAGCTGGACAGGCAAGGGAGTCAATATATACCTGGGAGGAAGCATAGGCAGATGGGCCTGCTCATTGAAACCAGCTGGGGAGAATGAAACAAACCCTGGTCTCAGAGAGGATCCTTCTTGACAGAGGCTGTAGTGGGGTAACAGGCAGGGCCGGATTAATATAGGGGCTGATGGATCTGCAGCTCCAGGCCCAGGTCCATGGAATAGGCCCATTAAAAAAAAAAAAAAGATTTTTTTTTTTTTTTACACACTACTCTTAGGTTTGCCACCTGACTGGTATTTTACTGGCACATCCAGTATTTTAGGCTGCCTGTCAGTGCCGGTATTGCAGTAATACTGGCAATACAAATGCAGGTATTTTTATCAGTATAAACGGAGATTACTCTGCAATACCAGCACCGGACAGTAGGGGTCACTGTGTATGGAGAAATGCAGGGATAGGAAGTTACAGCATATCTCTGCCTCTCTCTACTACTCACTGATCCATGGGGGAGCAGCTACACAGCACAGAGAGTACAGACAGCAGCTCTACAGCTCAGGTAAGTGAGGGATGGGGTGGAAAGGCAGCAGGGAGACATGGGGACACTGAGACACTAGGGGACACATTGGGACACAGACACTAGGGGACACTGGGAAACCTCGGCACACTGAGACACTAGGGGACCTGGTGAGACATCAGGACACTAAGACACATAGGGACGCTGTGAGACATAGGGACATTGGGAGACACTGAGACATTGGGACACGGAGACACTAGGGACACTGTTCCATGTCTCCCAGTGTCCCCATGTCTCCCCAGCCAGTGTCCTCAAGCCTCCCAGTGTCTGTGTCCCCATGTATCCCAGTGTCCCCAAATGTGTGTCCCCATGTCTCCCAGTGTCCCCATGTCTATGTCCACAAGTGCCCCCATGTCTCCCAGTGTCCCTAGTGTCTCAGTGTCCCCTAGTCTCCCAGTGTCCCCTAGTTTCTCAGTGCCTGTGTTCCCATGTCTCTTAGTGTCTCTAGTGTCATAGTGTCCCCAAATGTTTCAGTGTCCCCATGTCTCTGTGTCCTTAGTGTCTAAGTGTCCCCATTTCTCCCAGTGTCCCCAAATGTTTGTGTCTCCATGTCTCCCAGTGTCCCCATGTCTGTATTCACAAGTACCCCCATGTCTCCCAGTGTTACTGGGTCTCTGTGTCCCCATGTCTCACTGTGTCCCCTAGTATCCTAGTGACATGGGGACACACTGAGACATGGGGACACTGGGAGAAATAGGGACATTGGGAGACTAGGGAACTGGGTGACATAGGGACACTGACACTGTGATACATGGGGACACACTGAGAAATGGGGAGACTTGCGAGACTGAGACACTGGGAGACAGGGAGACACTGGGAGCAATTTATCTATACAGCAGAATCAAACTGTGAGTAGTTTGTTGGTGATCTGACAGAATTTTCTCTTATGTCACTCCTTGTGATTTACATCATGTGATGTCACTCATAACTAATTAATTATACAAAGGCTGGTATTTTTTTCCAAGAAAGTTGGCAACCCTAACTACTCTTCACATACTCTTGCTTAACCCCTTAAGGACCAAACTTCTGCAATAAAAGGGAATCATGACATGTCACACATGTCATGTGTCCTTAAGGGGTTAAAGGAACACTATAGGGTCAGGAACACAATCATGTATTTCTGACCCCCTTCTAGCCCCCCTCGCCCTCTCTTGCCTCCCTAAATATAGTAAAATCTTACTTGTATTCAAGTCTGCAGCTCCTGGCTCTGCCTCTGAACTGACTCTGTCTACTGACATAATAATAAGTGGTGGTCTGAGCAAATTACAATGCTTCCCCTTAGGGTTGGCTGAGACTGACAACTAGGCAGATTAGGGGCAAAGCCAGCACAAGTCAAACATAGCCCAGGCCAATAAGCATCTCCTGATAAAGATAAATTGAATCGATGCATCTCTATGAGGCAAGTTCAGTGTCTGCATGCAGAGGGTGGATACACTGAATGGCAGTGCTGCACATTAGGCAGCACTGCCCCAGGAAGCACCTCTAGCAGCCATCTAAGGAGTGGCCAGTTGAGTTATTTTCTCTGAAAAGACAGTGTTTACTGCAAAAAGCCTGAAGGGAATGATTCTACTTACCAGAACAAATACAATAAGTGGTAGTTGTTCTGTGGACGATAGTGACCCTTTAAGTTTGGAAGCGTAAGATGGATGTATGGCAACAAAACCTGTGTGGACTGGCTTACAATAAAATTAGTTTAGGTTTCTCTAACACTGTGGCATGTCCCCTTTTTTCTACACTCACTACATACACCTTTTCTCTGTCTCAGACTATATACCAGGAACTTCTGCCTGCTAGTAAGAAGGTAAGGAGACAAGTGGACATGTGAATGCATCAAATTATGCTCCTACTCCATCCTTAGAAAGCATGGAGTAGGAGCATAATTTGATGCATTCATGTCAAGTTCAGGGTGCTGCCTGCATAGTATGCCCTTGGTTGGACAGCCTGCATGATTGGCAGGCAGCCTGACATGCATTCATGCCAGGCTGGCCATCCAATTCTTTGGACAAACATGTGATTCGCGTCAGTGGCACACCCTTTTACCCTGCCCATTGACTTCACTGGACACGGCTGTTAGGGGTTATGGATTTACTTGAAAGATGAAAACATAAATTAGAGAGAGATTAGCATAGAGTATGTGTTTTCGTATAGCTGCATCCTTTCCCTCCAGCACCATCTCCATCACGCTTGGGAGGTATGACTGTTTTAGTGTTTTTGGTCGATAAGATTCTGTAATTAGACCCCATCATAATTGTCAGCACCAGGCCCACTGGGCTCTTAATCTGGCCTTGGTAACAGGGGCTGTGGTGGAGTGACTGTGGCTGTAGTGGGGTGATAGGGGATATACTGGAGTGATAGGGGATGTAGTGGGGTGACAGGGGATATACTGAAGTGACAGGTACTGTGGGGGGTGACAGGGGCTGTATAAAAGTGTATCCGGCCCTTACCTTTGTGAGAGAGATTTTTGATCTCTCTCACTGGCCATGCTGCCCCTCTCCTGACTGCTGCCCTTAGACCATGGCCTCAGTGGCTTTGTGGCACATCTGGCCCTGTCTAAAAACTTTAATCTCCCCAATATGCATGTGAAAGATAAACAAATATATATAAAAAATGATGTAACAGATCCGTATACCCATATTTGCTGTTTTATTTTACTTCTACGTGGTAGCAATGCATCTAATGTTTCCAATAAATGTGGTATTGAATGGATTATGGGCCACAAAATCGGGTCATTTTTAAAGCTCACATGTAACCCTTATAATTCTCCATGTAGCTAATGCA